GAATAAAAAATAAAATACAAAATTACAAAATAAGCATTAAGTAGTCAGTTTTTTAACATTTCACTGATAAATTTCTTAATTTCCATTTGAAAACTATTATTAATTTCGATTTAATAATATAACCAGCAGAAAATTTGCATAAAAGTATCGCATTTTCTAGCTTTTTTCATCTATCACTCCTAAGAAACAAAAACGAAAAGCAAATAAATGCAATTAATTAATTTTTGGACTTCATTAAAATCTTGTAAAATATCAAGTATTAGACTACTTAGCAATAACAAAACATACAAGCTTGCATGCACTTCAAATTCAAACTTAAGTATTATCAATGGTGAATTTACTCAAAAATATTCGAAAATGGACTACGATTGCATCTAAACACTACACAACAGATAATAACTGTGATAACAGACTTTATGCAAATTAGGCTCTAATATTTATAATGCACAATGCCGAAATGCAACACACTAATACGAAGCATTCAGAGGCAGAAATGAAATATTATTCTAACATAAAGTAAACAAATTCAATAATAATAACGCTCAATAATTTTGCTACTTAGAAGAGTGTCTAAAGAAGGAAAAATGAAATTGAGATAAGCGCTTCTAGCATAGAACTTCTGATCTGTCAAGTCATATAAGTGCTAACAGATACCCATTCCATCAATACATAGATTTATCACTATCACTAAAAACAAGAACAAGTGAGAACAATTTCTGACATGACTAAAAGTTTCACAAAAACACCATCAGTAAATGAAATGAACGTAGTGTGCATTTGTTGATGATTTGACAACTCTAGCTAGCACTTAGTTATATGATAGAGAAGGCGGAAAATAATACTAACGACAATAATAATAATAATAATAATAAAATAATAATAATAATAATGAGGAAGTGACGAGAACGATGATAACGAGCGTATTAACTAACAATGATAACGCTAATACTGCCAGTTGCCCCAATATTGCCTAAAAATTGAAATGAGGATACAAATAATTACTAATGCAGCCTTTGCTGTTGCTGACATTACAGCAACTTATTTAATCACATGAAAGTGTATAATTTTGTATGCTATAATCTAAATGAAAAAAAATAGTAAATTTTACTAATTCCAATAGCATAATTTTTTAGTTTTATTGTATGCAATTGCACACAAATACGTACGTACGTCAAATGTATTGACTAAATTTATTTATATAATCAACGATTTGAATTTAAAGAGAGCTTTTTGGTATTGTTAATAGTAGAAATGAAGAAACAAATGTGTCTCACTATCAGTTATCACTTTCATTGCGTCTGCTGTGTAAAGAATACTGGCATCTAAGTAGATAAAAATGAACCCATTGAAGCAAAACGGCACTATCTCTGTACTTCAATGAATATTTTGATGGATGCGCAGCTGTTTTAGTTTAGATAGAACAGAATGCACTGTCTTCTATGAAACGAAAAAGTTTTACTTTTACTTTTACTTTTACTTTTACTCTTACTTTTTATGCGAAAATGAAAATGAGATGCAAAACCAAAAATTGATTCGAAAGAAAAACAAACAAACAATACTTTACGCTACATAAAGGCATGTAACGATATTTTAGTACTCTTCTGTATGTGTGAATATGCTGAGTATGCATTTATTTATTCGCTAAGTCAAAAAAGAGAAAAAACAAAGTACGAAAATCACAACAGATGACCAAAGCAAGCAAACAGAGATTGATTCTTGATAAATGCCAATGCAGAGATATATTCAAATTTCGCTTTTTCATCATCAGTAGCAAGATTATTCACACTACTTTTAAATGCTTGAAATTACAATTTAAAATATTTAAATTTGAATATTTTTTAAACTGCATCATTATTAATAATAATATTTGAATTTTTTCATTAAATAAACCATCAAATATTTTGACTGCATTACGAAATATATATTTTCTACTAATACTGATTAGTAATCATAATAATTGCCTTTGCGATATCGCTTAATAATAATAATGATAACACTACTAATATAATCAGAACTGTAATTAAAAATGATACTGTTTTTGCGCAAATGAGAAAACGAACTGAGGAAGTAAATCAGACAAAGGAAAACCCTAATTGTGATTAGCAGAAGAAGAAGCTGTATCAGTAGTGAGAAGAACGATTACTGCATCAGTAATACCAAGTGAAATTGGATAATACCGTTGAAGACGTACCGGTGCTTTCAACATTTTGTCTAGCAGTGCTAAATGTGCTGCTGAGATCAACAGAATTGCTGTCGAATTGCAACAACAGTTACTACGATCAATGCCAATAGCACAGCTGCAAATTAAGCAATTCATTTTAATACATAAATAATATGCAAAACTGAAAGTAATTAATTACATCTGCACACTTCATTCATATTCACTTAAATGTGAAAGACCACTAAATTTGTCTCAGCTCAGAATGCAACTTGAAGTGTTAATTTACGGGACTGCGTATAATACTCAATCAATTCACGCTAATTCACTTTTCTACAGCTGCTGTTTTTGAAAAAAATCTAGCCTAATCATACCAAAAACTGTACTTAGTACAAAAATTCACTGCTTCTTGAGTAGAACTAATCTATTCGCTCACGCTTCCCATATCTTAACTGACAACCAACATTCATCTAGAAACCAGAAGCAAATTTTGAATTAAAAAAGGCTCAAAATCCAGGATGAATGGAATGTGTAGTGGAGAGTGAATGAATACGAATGCTGTGGTTGACTTTGATAACCACAAAATTAAGCCTAACTTAGTTCACGTATGCGTATGCAACGATACAGCCAGAGTAATGGTTAGTGTTAAACGAACAGCTCTAAGAGATTGCATTAGTTGCGCATAACTCTTATCGATCTCTAATTGTCAGTTGTCAGGAGACACAGACATCGCGGAGCAAGCAAGTAAACCCCATCATCCATCCATCTGCCCTCTCTCTTTACTTCACTCATTTGAAATTGCTAGCAGAAACTGCTTTCATTCGCATTTCCCGTCCTGAACTACCACCTTTCTCTATACGTCTTTTCACGTCAGTTACCCTTTCGATTAAATGCTTATTCAGAGTATCAGTTCTTCAATTCTCTATCTTCATGTTTTTGTCGGCTAATGATTGCACATTCAATTCAGTATTTAATACTTACAAATTGTTTTAACTAAATACATATACGTGTTGCTACGGAAACTGATTACACGAAGAACGAGTCACTCTGAGACAAGTTTAAGTATCTAAACATTTTTAAATTTTTGCTGCAACCAAATTATAGAACTTAAAATGCTTTCTATGAGACTAATGTCATAATTACATTAATAAGAATGGATCAGACCAATACAAATTTTTGTAATTATTCACATGGTATAAATTGGTTTAAAACTAGTGAATAAATAATAATTATTCTTAATTATAAAATATCAAACTGATTTGTTTGAACTTTAACTGAATAGTAAGGAAGAGGAAAACATACTTTGAGAAAATGTCACAAACTCTTTGTAGTATTTTTATTGCACTTTCTTCAGTTCCATACATCTGACCAAACGGAAGATCTGATATGATGTGATCTACCACTTCATATTTGAAACTATCTAAATGGTATTAGAATTGACTTGACTAAGAATTTTTATTATGCTAATTTTCCATTCCCACATGTTCGATTAATTTATAATTTTAAAAAATCAAATTTTGTATGAAGTATCACTCTGTGCCAAACTATCTACAATCAGACTACCTAATGCTTAGCAATCCAAATCATAAAAATTTGTAATTGGATAAATGAAATAATAAATTTATTCTGATCTCATATAATGTCAAAAAGTTGCACATTCGATGGCGCATGCAGTCGCATTAAAATGTTTAAAATGATCCAAACCATTGAATATATTATTAGCAAGCAAATTGATTACTGGTTCCGTCTTATCACTTTGCCGCAGATAGTTAATATTTTTAGAGGACAATTCCAAAGCATCCCAAGAGCAATCGAAGCCCAACAGGAAGATCTGAGGTTATTAATGTCACCCAAAAAGTTTGATAAAGCATTCAGAAAAAAAAATAAAATGTAAAAATAGCCGCTGTTAGAGAGCATTACTAAGCATTTCAACTATCATTTCAATTTATTTTGGCCGATTTGTAATTGAAATTTTGTAAAAATTTGCTTGCAGAGTTATTTATATCAATGATGAAAATCAGAATTTCAATGCAACACTACTAATTCCACTAAAGTTATAATTAAAATGAATGAAATTAAAAATAAATTCTTGTCGATTGAGAAAAAATCATAAAGTTAGCTTACTTTCTGCCGAAAATCGTGAGCAGCTTGCAATAAAATAGAAGACGAACCACAAGTGAAGTCAGCAACAATGTCACCATCTTGAATGTTCGCTAAGGATAACAATGCATCAGCTACAGTTGATCGTAATGAATTGTTGAATAAATAAGGCCGTTTAGATAAAGGCTCTCTGCAAATAAAAGTACTGAGTGAAAATCAATCTATTTGACTAAGTTAAATAAACATAATTTATAACCAGGCAGTATCATACACGTCTATAATAACGAGGCAATATCAATTGTAACTAGGGAATATCATATGCTTCTGTATTCTACTGAATTATTTAAATATTTTAAGGAAAATTCACAGAAGAATAAAAAATCTACCCAAGAAAATTTCGCTTTTCATAAAAAAGCTCTCCATTCTCTAATAGATTTAATTCTAATATTTTTCATCTACTAACCGAGTAATCGGTATGCCAATGAAAATTGATTCTTCAGATATATGAATGCAAACTTCTAGTGCAGCAGATCGTAGCGAAGTATTAAAACCAGTGATTTGTTTGACGCGACGAGCCAAACTTGCTGACAATCTCTGTTTAATTAATTCTTGAGAAAAAGCTCTGTGTGCTTTAAATTCCACTGTTTTGTTACTGATTTTTGAATCAGATAAGAAGGTTTAAGCTTATTTATCAAGTAACTAGTAATATCGAGAAAAGAAAGAACAAGGCAGTGTCACAATTTTTTGAATTTAACAAATCTCTATCATTCTATCAGCAATTTAAACATTTGAATAAAGCATTACTAGCTCTTAGGCTATCTTCAAATTATGAGAAATGTATGAGCAGCACTCGTGAAATGATATGCCATTAAATTATCATCAATTGAGCAAATTTAAGCTGTTTTAAATAAGTGATAAGCTAAATTTTGTATATTTACAGTACTAACCTATACCTCATTATTAATCCTAAAACGCCATTTCCCAGTCGTCTTTAGTGAAACTCGAAAACATCTACAAACACTGTTTACAGATTGCTCACGGTGTAAACAAGTGATTGCTTCTTGAAACATTGATACCAATGCAGGTATGGAATCCAATGTACTAAAGAGCTTGTCAAATAGCTCTAAAAATGTACTGAGATATTGCAGAAGTTTTCATGTTTTTTTTTAAAGCGAAATTTATAAATTAATTGAAAGATCTGAAAAATAAGCAGGTATCATGATTATTGCAAATAAATGATTTAAATGTCTGCTCACGTCGTTTGTTCATGCAGCGGTCGACCAATTCATAAGCTACTGCTATGAACAGTCTTTCAGCACAACGCAAACCATATAACTGGCTAGGGTCATTTGCATCGAATAAAATTTTCCCTCCTCTGGTGGTTTCAGAAATTTCCATACTCTCCAAAAACTTTTGAAAATTACCACGGAATTTCCGAATATACACGCAATAAAAATATACTATTTGATTATAACAGTAGGACGAGTATCCTCAAAAACTTAAATTTAATTTAAGCAATGTTAAATCTTAAAAAGCTTGAGATAACAGATGTCAAGCAGAACGGAACGGAACGATGAAATACGGAACGCGAACTAATTTAGAATTTTGAAGTTAATTTCTACTTACTATTCTGCATTACGAAGCGTCCTATTGCTATAAATCGAATAAGATGGCATTCATTCCCGTTTTTATAGCGAAAGCAGATAGAATTATCCGTTCTACAAAAAATGTACGCACAAATACTGTTCAAAAAATTCAAAATACCGAAATTCGATGCAATTGCCTTTTCACGAAAGGCTCCATCCCTCGTCCAACTGTAACACAGAATCTCATCTTACCAAACACTTATACTGCCTTTTCCCGGTTTATTTTAAATACCTGAATTCCAACAGAAATCTGACAAGGTCTGAAAATGCGAAAAAATGTGGAAGTGTCCTACAGAGTCCGACACTCCTAATCCTTACTATATCTCGCGGTCTCATATTAGTGATATACATAAAATTGGAATTCTCAAAATTTCAGCACCCTCCAAAAGAGCATATGTACACGAATGGACTGAGTTAGCCCAAATACGAAGAGCTTTAAATAATGACAAACCTACTATTTTTAATACCACGTAATCTTTACTTCAGCGAGAGCAAATTTCGTTGAGTAAAAGTTTATTCCCTGTATGGAGTCTACATTTATAATACACAGCACCGCACTACTACAGGCTTTTCGGAACTAATACTAGAATATGATAAAAGGATAAACTAAAAATGATACTAGATACTAAGAATGAATATGCTACTCTTCACAATAAATTTTGGTTGAATTAGAAATTGTGATCAATACTGCATTACTGTTATATATAATCTTGCAAAACTGAAGCTCCAATGTAATTGAATACTAACCTGATCAAAACACGATACATTAAAACACATATCAACCATTAGATACGAAAGTGGATTGTGAAACATATGTCCAATTTAATACTAATAAGCACTAAATTTTTCGATCATTAACATATCAAGCTCCAAAAATAAAAATAAATAGTTTACAGCCTATAGATGTGTAGTATCTTACAAAAGAAGAAATAGAACTTTGAAATATCAGAACAAATGATCTTCAGTGAGAATATATCAAATTAACAAAATGAAAGAAATTCAGTCCATTAGAATTTTCACAAATTTTTGTAATCAAATTTTGTGACAGCTTGTCAAATACAATGCAAAAAAAAATATGAAAAAGTGAAAATCAAATAACTTTGCTGCTTCGTATGTCATTTACCAATCAGAACAAAATATCTAGATCAAATCATCAAAAAACAACAATTAAACATTTTAAAAAAATTAACAACAACAAAATTAAATTTCAAAAAGAATACAGACCGGATGACAAACCAAACTGTCTAAAAAGCTTCCAGCAACGAAAAATCATAATACTCTTCTTATGACAAATGATGCCAAAATCACTTCTTAGATCAGTAAATTCCTTATTATTTAAATAGAAATTAGCAAAGTTTCTGCCTCATTTCTTTTGTAGTATTAAAAAGTAATGAATTTAGAAAAAGGAGAAAAATTCTTCAAAACAATATTAAAAACATTCATAACAAAAATACGATTGTCCCATAAAATTTTAAGTAGATGTGCTTGACGTAGCACAAACTGCAAAATCCTTCAGTTGCTGAACAATGAAATTGATTGCACACTGCTTTAGCTTCCCTTAAATCTAATGTTCATTTTAAACTTATGTCCCATTACACTGTAGATGTTGCAAATGGCTTCACGATGTAGCTGAAATCTATTTATTATATAATCATTTACTCTTCATCGGCAAGATATAATCAATGTTAATTATAAACACTTCAAATTAAACAAAATCTGAAAAATGTAAAACTTCTAACAGCTACGTAAACAATAGTTTACTGTAACATAAATGGTTAAATTCTTAGAAAATTTACAGGTGTAATTGAAAGCTTCCGGCTTCGAAACAGAAATAGCTAAATTTTCGAAACAAATGAAATCCCAGAACTGTCGTGAATACCTGACACATTTTCGACGGTTACTATGTCCTAAAATATGAAATCCTGAATCAAAAAAGAATGTAGCAATGGATTTCAAAAAAAGAAAGTAAGGAAAGAATTGTGAAACTAAATCACTAGAATTTCCTTTTCGTAATACTTCTACATTTCATTCTATAACCTAACCTTACATAATTTTCTATTTTTCTTTCATTTTAAGAGTCATAGTTTTACCCTTTCTTTGACTGCAATTGATAATGGTCCTGAGTCTAATGATGTCCAATTTACGCTAGTAAATTCAGGTAAAAATTCATGTAAATCAGTAGATAACTGAATCGCTTCATCTCGCGCAACGAACGGTGCAAACATTTGCCAATCATCTGTAGTTCCTACATCCGAAAAAATAAGCAATTGCAAAGTATTAAAAAATTACATAAATCAGCTTCAACAAAATGCTCAGTTTTATAGTCATTGAAAACATTGTTGAACCAGAAGGATATTCAAACCAACCAATATCACTATTTTCTTTATTATATGCAACTTCTGTCATACAATTCACTGGTGTAGTTAGTAGACTTGACCGGTCACTGACGGAACTGCTGTTCCAATCAACTGTAGAATATGAAGAGTTACCATAATCCTCAAAAGCGGTAAAACTGTTGCCATGACAAGTGTTGTAGGAGCTTGTTAACTCATCCTCTGTAGAAGAGAAACACGTAAATGTTTTAGATGAATTTTTTTCCAGTGGTATAAGACTTGCATCTTCATTATCGATCTAACTATCTGGCAATTAATTGAATTTGAAAACATACATAAAATTTTCATAAATTAAAATTTACACTGTTTAAAAATAATGAACGTCAGTAACCAGATGCTCAAATTAAATATTTGTTCTTACTAATGTTAAGATAAATGATAAAACGGAAAAGAGAGTTTACTTTGAAAAACATGAATACTGGATTTTCTTTCATGAAAAGGCATTTTAGAGCTGAATTTGAGTGCATAAGGTTTCTTCATTAATGGCTAATTAGTCAACAAAAACCACTTAAAGTTTCCGTTCTTGAAATAGACTATAAAATCAAAGAACACAATAGCACTGATTTGCAGAAATTCCAACCAGATGTCGAAACAGTTGCATAATCGCAACCAGCAGCAGTAGTTGTGTAGCGCGCTTCTATGTCAGCTGATAAGTAATTAGTAGTACTACACCACGGATATTTATTGAATGATTCCGGCAAATCTGATACTTCTCGATTACTCTCTGAATGATGCATACCAATTTCCGCTTCATTTTGATTGCAGTTTTCCACTTCTTTCCCTGAATAAACAAAAATCCAAATGTTAGAAAAGTGTGAATAATTTAAAGTGTCAAACATTAAAATACTACTAAACAAAAGACACTTCAAGCCTGTCTTAAACAGCGAATAATGCGTCAAACTATTGTTTCCCTGCATTTTCATATCACAAATTTTTGTTTAAAACAAATTTAGCGAGCAAATGTGCCGCAATAAAGCGAGAACAAAGTAGGAATTAAGCAGTGATGAGAAGTGCAGTAATTAGATTCTGTCATTATAGCAATACACCACAACTATGCACTTCCTGCAAGTATGTGAATATACTCGCACTGTGCAACGCGTATTTCAGGGTGTAAGAGAATAATAGTCACTGCACTACTCTCAAAAATCGATATTGCCAAAGTTCTGTATTGAAATAAAGTCCACCATTGTTGCTATTTTCGAACAAAATGTTGGCTGCATTTTCATATACGCATTCGGCGGTTCCCGATACAGTTATACCGTTGCTCGTACCATAAGTGATAGTGTTTATTGGTGCCGTTATCGATGGTTTTGCATTTCCAACCGCAAAATACTTCCTTCTCGGGAATTTACCTCACAAAAAAGGAACGTGAAAACAATCAGTTTTTTAGACATGACAAAAACATAACGATCACAGACCCTCTTAAATTTTTGAGGAGAACCATTCCATATAATGTAAATACACATGCACATATACTTTGACTAAAATTCTAAGTCTTGCAAAGAAACAAACTGCTACCAACAACATTAAGTCAATTAATTAAATCACACAGCATTAAGCATCGATTGAATTTGCTGTGCAACAGAGAAAATCATGAGTGCTGGGCATCAGAAATTCCACTCCGCTTTTCATCTCTAGCACTACTGATGGAATATCATTAAATAAATTTATGAGTACAGTAACTGCAGTAAGCACGCACTACGACAGGTTACCCTCAGTTAGAAAGTTGGAAGCTGCAAGGAAATATCAAACCATGCTTAATTCCAGCGTTTTCCGCACCACACAACATAGTTTGTTTACTAATACGTTCCTCGAGAGGATAAAGCCGACTTAATATAATATTATTATCTGACAAATCTGTAATGATTGATTCTTATTCTGGAACAGCAATGAAAAGTATTGACGAATTTTGTTAAACAATTTTTTTTCACAACTACAAAATTATTTTGCGACTGAACTTAGATGAAAAAACGATCCTAAAACGCAAAAGAAAAGCAAATGACCACAAAACTAAATTTGTGAACGAATACCAATATATTTTTTAGTTCCTTTCATTTCTATTCGTTTCATGTATAATTTGTTGCGACTGCTCGCAAATAAGTCTTCTTCTCCTTCCTGACTGAAATGCATCTGTAGAAATTATTTTCCCTTAAAGACAAATCAAAGACACGATTACATCCAGTTAGCGTATATATCTGTTTAAAAATTTCAAAAGTTATACTCAACATGATGGTTACAATCGAAAGCAGTCTTATCTACCTTCGTATTACTTTCTCTATTACATTGTTAAGTAATTCTTGCTCAATTTGACTATGAACCATCAATTTATCTCATAAAACTTTCATTCTAATATATTTGAGCAGTCATATGACAATCAGCCATGAAACTCAACCCTTCTTTACCTAAACTACAAACGATAACCTATATTGTTAAACCATGTATAATCATACCGAAATTTATTCCGGAATCTTTTTGTTGTTTTCAAAGATTACAATGAATCATTGAAAAAATTTTTAACTACGTAGCAGGAAAAATCTCACGGCTTTCGAAACATTTAGTCAGTATTCATTTTCATTAATATTCTCGTATTCATTCTCATTAGTATATCAGTTTGTAGCACAGCGAAAATATTGTATCTTTTATTTTTTTGATCCTAACGATATTTGATGTCGGCGAATTCAGTTATTTTTGACTTACCAACCACAAATTACGATCATAATTCTAAGCTATATTTATTAGAGACAAGTTATTTTTGGTTAGCAGTTTGCTAAGAAGTAATTGACAAAAATAATGTGACGTGTATAACAAAAATGAAGATCTAAATTTAAAAAGGATGCCATCTAAAAAAAAATTTTTCTAAATTTATCATGTAATCTAGAGAAAACATTAATTGCACTGCAAAATAATTTTTCGAAAATAATAAGAGAACTAAAAACAGATAATATTTACCAAATATCAGATATCATATATTTTCAACATCTTTATGGCCCTGGAACATAAAACGGAAGTTCTAACCCTATTACAGTATGTGTACAGAAGACATGACTCGTTCTTTGGTTTTTTTTCAAGCGACTAGTAATTGTCGCTTCTGTTTGTACCCATAATACCGATTTGTTGGCACCAATGAGACGATAGTAAGATGTTTTGGTATGACCTTTTGAAAACAATTCACGAACTGAAGTAACTACTGCCTGAAGATCCGTTGGATAAACCAGACTGTAGAACGAAGTACCTAGTAAAGAGTTTGACTTTCCAGACAAAATGAGATCGAAACTGAAAATAGAAATCAAAGTCCATGCAAAAATCTGACGATTGTTGCAGACAATACCAAACCCAAAGATAATGGTTCTTTGGGATAATCAACATTTTGCTACTCATGCCCTGCTATTTTCAAAGAGACGGCCTGAAATTCGTTTCAACAAATATCATTCAATTCTTTCACATATTTTCATGCACTTTTTTACAAACCTAATTTTTCTAACTTTAACTATTCTTACAAGCACTTGTAATGTCAAATGAACATTACTATACTGATCTAAAGCGTTAAGTGGCGTACTACTAAGAAATATATATTTCAACTCTTAATAAAACTTTGTTGGATGTAAATAATATTTTGATCAGAAATTCAAACCTGTGACTGATGAATATAAACTTCATATCTAAGTTATGCCGCGTAGTATGGATTTCCTTGTATCTGTTAATATTCTTTGAGAACGCAGTTACAAAATTACCTTGACCTGCTGGTAGTGTGGTAACTAGTATAATGCGAACATTGCAATAGCCAACAGATACAGAACGTACATTACAAGAAACTGGCTGTAAATATCAACACGAACTAAAATTGAACTAACCTAAAGATAAAAACTTTGCTATGCTAGTTGCTGTGCAAAATAGATTGTTCACAAATTACTTATTAATTCTTTCAAAATTCATGTGCTGTTCATTTAAAAGTTGTAGAAAATAATGTGTCTTATTAAATTTCACTACCAATATCGTTACTCTTGAACAGCAATCTTTACCTTGAACTGAGCGCTCTTGAAGTTAAGATTTCTGCCTCGAGGACTAATTACTGATTTCATTCGTATTGTAAAAGTTTGTCCTACTTCATAATTAACATTCTTAAGATAACAAGTTCGATATGTATCATAATCATCAATGTGGATGAAACTTTTGAATAACTGCCCCGCGAGATCGGTCTAAAATAAACTGTGCGAACTAGTTTAGTAACTAATGTTCTCTACTATAATTCGCAATTTATAAAAGTGATTAGATAGCTTTTTTACAACTGGGAAAATAATTTACTCAAAGCAATCAGTAAATTTGCTCATTTCTTTAAAAAATTAAGAATCACGATCTTTTGATCTTTTGACTTTCAAAACAAAACTCTATGTTATTAAACTCTTTCTTCAGATTTAGTTACATATATTTTCGCCCGATCTTGTTTATTTCAGTCTTTTCATTAAATGCTTTGAATTACAAAATACGTTGTTTAACAAGCTATCACAACTGGTTTGCGATACCTTTTCAATTTCTATTGTTAATATTTAGCTAAATAGATTTAGTGCTGAACTAATACAAATCTTGGCATGTTACGGGTACACTGTATTTTCTAATTCACATCTATACATATTTTAAAAACGAAAGGAAAAGAAACTTGAGTAAATCCAAGGAACACAGAGACGCTTTCGCTAATGTATAAAATAGTGTCGTCGTCATCAACAATTGCGAGGAACCCATCTAAGCAGTCTAATAATATATTTTCAAAACGCGAATACTGACATGCTTCCTCATAAGAAGGTTTTAGAACTGAAATAAAAAGTAGAGTAATCTCATGAACCAAATTTTGATTAACTAAAGATATATAATATATATTTTCTGAACAGTATAACCAATGAGTGAAAAAAACACGATGCTTCTTCCTTTGCTCTTATGAACATGTGAACGTTACAAAAAAAAAATTGTGAAACAATTACACTGAGTTTTGTGAACATATATTTAAATCAGCAATGTATAAATAGTACAGAAAATTGTAGCATTTGTTGAGAATACATTCAACACTATTCTCAACAAATACTAGAATCTACTATTCTCAACAAATACTAGAATTTTCTGATCTCATACACGAGAAAAGATTTTAGTGCAGTAATGGAATAATGTATAACTGGCATCTACTCCATTACTTTTTAAAATCAAACCTTCCAAACTAGATAAGGTAAAGGAAGGATTTCGTCATGCTTAAGTAAAAACTCACCTCCTCCCAACAGCAAAAACATACCGTGTTTCACGATTTCCCGAAGTCTACAAAAAGTTGACGCCACTCGTAATAAAGCACTTCGATCTACCTGCGCAACAGTTGCCTCATTAACGATTGGTATCGTATCTCTGATATCATCGAAGATATCTGATTCTTGTCCACGACGATCACGTGCAGCATATCGAGATGTTTCACGACGTCGATAAATATGTCTGAATAGTGAATGATTAATAAGGAATAAAAAATTATTTACAAATGAATGTTTCCAGATATTTAATTAGCGATACATTAATATTATCTGAATAGAGAGCTGATTTCACGATTGAAGCATTTAAAGATTGTACTCAAAAAAATTTTTTTTTTCGACTTCACTAAAAAAATGCTCTGCACATGTGGCTTTTTATATACCACGCAAAGCTTTTACATATTTAATATTTTTTCAAAATACAAATTAGAAATTCCCGCAAAAAACAAACTGAGATGCAATTCAAAACTTAGCGAATTTCACGATTTTGAAATTTATCAGCAAAAACAAAACTTAGATAATTACTTCGGTAATCAATAAATAAGCGTAAATAGCAGTAGTTTTACTATTTATATTTGGAAATAGCTTACCACATGAGCTGCTCTAGCCGAAAGTATCATGTTCTTTATAAATAAAAAACATTTAAAGTCATAGTTCAATAAGCCAAAACTCAAAAATTTTATTCACGAATTAGAAATAAGAGAAAATCAGTTTTTGGAATAATTAAACTATAAAAAACTCAAAAATTTATAATCTATGGAATCTGTCATTATCAACTTTTCTAAATAAATGAATGAACCTTCTTTTCACAATCATCCTCCATCTACTTAAAGTATAATAATTATTATATATTATCATCATCATGCACAAATTATGTACATATAATTTAATTATTTGTAATGTTACTTGCCATGCTTATTTGTCTGTTTATATTTATATATGGCAAACGTAATCCTTAAATCGTCAAACGTTATATCCGTGGTCTTTCAAACTTCAAGTGGACGAAATCTATGAGCATGTCCACGAGTGGTCCACATAAAGTAACCATTTCAAATAAGAAGAAGAAAAATTTGACATGTTGATAACGTGAAATACCTCAGCTAAGCTCATGCATTTATCCACTCTCCTCATTCAGTAGCACAGCATCATGCGTTACAACGAATGCACGATCAGTTTGTACTCACGAGAAATAGTGTTAAAATCAAAGTAGTTCAAAGTAATAATATCGATCTGTCGTCACACTTTGACACTTTTTTATCACTATCCACATATTAGCAAAAAGTTTCATTTCTGTCTATCCAAAAATTAGAAATTTTAGGTGCGCAAAATGCTTGAATGTCATTTTATTTAAATTTTCCAGGACTCCAAACAAAATCTTTTAATATTTATTGTAAAAGTTAGCTACTAAATAAGCACTTTGTGAAATCAACACACAAGTAATCCTGAAATCAACACAAAATACATACAGAAATGTAAAGAAAAGTAAGCCTTACAATCTTCGGCTGAACTCGGCATCACACTCATCCATATGTGCCATCATGCCGATAAGATAGTATATGCAAGGCTAAATATAACCGTAGCAGAGAGAGCTTAATTTACGCTGGCGCTGCTCTGCATTCAGAGATGAACACATCAGCGCTTACTTATTAATACAGTAATAACATTTAAGCTGAGAATAATAAACCGTAGCTCAGGTAAAATCAGTGTTTACAGTAATGGCGCACAGTTATCTGCAATGATAAATGAAATAACAATACTCTCGTTCACAGTGTACCACACTAAACAAGTTAAATTAGCATGCTGTCTTGCAATACTTTCAATCTTCACAGAAAGTACCTAAATTTAACGGTTAATTAGAGGCCACACTTTGGGTAAGACAAATTCATTGCGTCCGTTGAAATCAGATTGTGATTGTGAAATAGCTTGGCAAGCAGTCAAGCAGTCTGACGTCAGCCTGCCTGTTCACTTGCTGAAATTACTCAAAAATCAATGAATTGCGATTAATTTGGATAGTAACTGCAAGTAATGCTATCACATACCTGCACACATTCAATCTGATTTTGTAATTTCTAATATAATTTGAAATTTAATTCGAAATCGAAATTGCAAATCACTTTTTAATTACTTCTCAAAATTAACAATTACAGTAATAATTGTTCGCAAAAATAATCAAAATAGTGGTTAAATTAGTCATAATTTACTGATTTTATACAATTATATATTTATGTTATTGACTGATTGACTTGATTTGATTTGTTTCTTAGCTTGTAATTTAATGGAGTTTGGATAAAATTATTTATTTGCGTGTTTGGTTTGTTAAGGTCTAATTGCTCATAACTCGTACTTGATTATTTCAGTCGATAATGAAATAATATTAGTAATTTTTATTTTTGTCTTATTTTGCTAATATTAGTAACAATAATAAGTGGTAGCCTCTGACCTAGCTCTCTTTCGTTATGCGTGAATTGTCAGCATTGACGACGTCCTTCCAAAAATAAACTAGCAGCTGCAAGGGTTTGAGAATGACTGCTACTACGCTCTTCTTGCAGCACTTACTTACTTTATGGCGCTGAATACAGCTGCAATAAATACATTTGAACTTGCAAGAATAGCAATATAACTTACTTACTTTCCACCCCAAATCACTCCTCACTTTACAATAATTACTTATCAATTATACTTTACAAAAATTACTCCTCACTTTACAAAAATTACTTATCAATTTACAAAAATTACTCCTCACTTTACAAAAATTACTTATCAATTTACAAAAATTACTTATCAATTTACAAAAACTACTTATCGATTTACAAAAATTACTTATCGATTTACAAAAATTACTTATCATTTATACTTTACAAAAATTACTTATCGCTTTACAAAAATCTTTTTGATATTCAAAATATTTATTTGTTATTAGAACTAATTTATTATTAGAATAATTATTTGTTATTTTGAACTAAATTATAATAAGAACAATTATTTGATATTTAGAACTAATTTATCACTTTCTATTGTTTCTTAAAGGAGTAAAAATATTTAATGTTTGCTACTTACTTAAAATGGAAATGTATTAAATTCAGATATATTGCGCACTCTTATCTTCTTATCGATGCATACAAATCAGTTCAAACTTAACTTTGTTCTAACCTTACATAGCAGTTTTAATATTTGAAAATTTTGATGTGATTAGCTCGCTTGTCCCTTTTCGACATATTCTTCTGCGAGATGTCGATATTTGCCAGACTTGCTTTTGCAATATCTGATAATTACATATTGTTTTACTAATTTGCTATCATTAATTTGATTCTGGTAGTGTCAGTTATTTCTGGAATACAATAAAACGCATTACAATATCCTTTTCTGTGGTAAAAATATCCTTAAATCATTCAGGAGCCCTTTCGCCCGCCTGATTTGAGGTTTAAAAAAGGTCACAACAGCTCAGCACATTTTAATAGAGCAAAACATTAAATAACTGCAAAGTTAACTCTTAAATTAAGCATTCCAGTAATGCCGTAGGGAAGCTATTTTGGTGATGACAAAACTTTCTATTTGTTGAGCTCTTTACTTGATGAACACGCACGAGATCAGGTTGTTACCATGCTCGGTTTATAATGAAATACCTCATCAGCAATACTACTATTATTCATTGAAAGTTGAGAAATTTTTAAAATGTTTTGTGGGAAGTTGAAGAATGCTTGGACAGATTTATTAGGCTATTTCCATGCATTCATTTATGTGATAATTTTTTAGAAGCTGTTTTCATGATATTATTTGGTACTTTCTGCTGGTGTTTCTATAAGTTTTTTGCAAACTTCCATAGTTTAAAAAGAACTTGATTACTTTGTTTCCTGCTCTCAAGCATAAATTAAGCAAAAAGTGAAGAAATTTAGACGAATTCAAATCACATAAGTATAAGTAAAATTATAAAAGTATGATATTTGTCTTATGTAAACTGTTGCAAAATTTTTACAAGCAAGTAACAGCAAAATTACAAGATCAGAAAGAGTTTAATTAACTATTAAACTCTTTCTGACGAATATAAGTTAATCTTATAAGACTTTAGTTCAGATTACAAAGTCTTAAGAACGTGAAGTTTAAACTTGAATAAAGATAACATTGCTTTACTCTTCTTTGGGCGGTTTTTTCTAATATTTTATATGGCTTCATAATGTGCTTATGAATTTACGGGATATAATAGGAACAGATAAAGTAATAAAGAAAATTTGAGTGTACAATTTAAGAATGGTGAAAATTAAATTATTTAACTTATAAAGATACAAGCATTATTTATATCATTTTGAAGCTAATCAAGTGGAATTTTTTAGAAAAGCCAGTAAAGACTGAATGCAGAAAAGTAAGGTAAGAAGCAGCGATACAATAATCATAAGTCAAGTTCTTGAAGAGATTTTTGAATCAAATAAGAAAAAGAGCTTAGATTCAAAGCATTCATTCTTTAATAAATAATTACGCAAAAACATGAGCGTTTAAAAATGATACAAAGATATGATCAAATATGAAACAAAAGATGATCATATGAAGAAAATGAAGTAAAATTTTTTCTATAAGTAGTTATTAATTAAACGAGTTTGTAGTTTACAATAAAGTTCCAAATGTTTGAGTTAATTTTTCTGGTTGGTTTGTAGAAAGAACGCCCTTAAAAATACTGGTTGATTTATTCATGCTTTGAATGCAATAAATTTAAGTTTTATTCCTTCAAGCTTTGTTATTTTTAATCATAAAGCTATTTTCATACATCTTAATGATAACTTCATCTTACTTTGCTGATTTGATCTAATTTTTTATTTATTATTCGAATTTAATTCTTTTAGTTTTAAATTGCATGTACTGTTTTAACGATTTTACTGCATTACTTTTTTGAGCTATTACTGAAAGATACTTTTGTAGATTATTTTTGTAAATGAAAATATAATCTTTACAATGTTTCCAGTGTATTTCTTACATGTTTTCTGAGAAGATTACTGAAAATTTTGCATTTTCATTTTAGTATTATGGAATTCAATCTTGATAGCTAAAGTTACAAGCAAAAAATGATTTTTGTACTTCATTACACAATCATTCTCTCTTTGGATATTTGAAAAAGTTGTCAAGAAAAATAACTGTTTTTATTTTGAAAAAGTTAACAATAATGTGTAGGCAAAAAATAAGTATAACTTTTATGACTAACTTTTGTCAAATTTGACCGGAAGTAAAATGAAACGCGAGTTACAAGAAATAAATCTCAATGCAAATATACTTTGCATCGTTTGTAACAAACTCGTCTTTACTTTCTTTTGAAAGTACAGTTATTTATTTGTACATCCGGTTTACAAATGAGGTATTTTCAAATGTTTCACTTTACAAATCTTTCAGTGAAAGTACTCTGTATCAAAAGTACTTTCCATGGATGGAAGTAACTGTTAATGTCAAACAACTTTGCATTTTTCCAGCTGATATGATTATTGTATGAAACTAAACTCAAAAATATTACGAGCTGAATTCTTCACTGATCATTTTGCAAATTATTTTTATTTCAGCACTTTATCAACATATTTTTGAGTTTAGTTAAGAAATTTCACTGCTGCAAAAAATTTGAAGTTTATATTTTCAAAATTTTGGCCGCAGTTTGTTTTATTTTTTTAAGAATTTTATTTGCACGTTCAAATTTGAATGTGCAAATGAAATTCTTATATAATGCTTTTAATCTTTTTCAACTAATTAGTAGCAGTCTTTGATTGAAACTAAATTTTCATATAATTGTTTTCAGAATATAATAATTAAGGACAAAAAAGTGTCAATTAATTTATTTAAAAAAATTAATTGTAACTATTGTTTTTTTTTGATTGATTATTTCAATATTTTCAAAATAACTGACCAAAAATTCTGCCGTAATAACTATGAAACTCAATTTATGTTTGCCATTAATCTTTTCCTGCTGAAATACTATAAACATTTTAGATTTTTGAGAATTAAAAAAACAACAGCTGATTGAAATGTGCAAAAACAAATAATATTGAGAGAACTTTGTTAAAAAAAATTATGCAATCA